TATGCTTGAACCACCTCCATTCTCTTGTAGAACAATAGAACGATGGGCTCTCCACATGTGTCGTATTAGACAACTAGTTCCAAGATCTTTTCCATTCTTTCCTCTACTGAATTCATTCATACAGTGGATGCAAACAGCTTTTGAATTATCTAGAGGAGACAAATAAAAATGCTTCCAGACAGCAGATCTTCTTCTGGAGCCAGATGTTCCTTTAGGTACCTGAACAGTTTTCTCGGCTACATTTTCCACAGTTTCTTCACAATGGTTGTTAGGAAAGTGTTGTGATACACGAACATCACCTTCCTCTTTATTGCTCTTTTCGGTATGCAACAGCTCTGAGGGGATCTCTTCAGTACAAACTACAGGCACAGATTCCTCAGTCATTTGATCTTGGGATGGAATCCTAGAAACTGCTTTCTTAACCAGTTTTAAAGGGGCTAACACACTGGTCAAATCACCAACATCTGCAGGCGGAGGTGATATTAATAATGTTGGTGACGAAAAGGAAGATATAGCTGGCATACTTCCATTTTCCTGAATGAGTACAGTGGGATGAGCTCTCCTCACATGCCTCATTAGACAACTTGTACTTAGATCTTTTTCATTTTTACCCCTGCTAAACTCTTTCATACAGTACATACATATTGCTTTAGTGCTGTCTCTAGGAGATATGAAGAAATGGTTCCATGCAGGTGATTTTTTTCGGGAGCTTATATTTCTGCTTGAAAGAAGGCTCTGTGTTACAGCTTCCATTGCAACATCATAAAGAGTGCTACTGTACTGTGAAAATAGAGATCCATAATCATCTTCATTTTCTGCAGAGATGTATTTGCTTGAATTGCTATGAATGAAATTCTTTTCTCTTTCATCTTGTTCATCACTACTGTCTGTTTGTCTTAAGTCTTCTGGCTCAGTTTTTATATCCATTGTTTCCAAAGCACAATTACTATCATCTTCTGGTTCCACTTTCAAACTATTAATTTTATCCATCATAAAACTATCATCAATTTGTGGAGAATGTGCTCTACTTGTATCCATGATTGATGAGTTAGTTCTGTTGTGCCTTCATAATTCAGTGAATATTTAAAATTATTTCAATTATATTCCTTCTATATTTCAAACAGAAGGTTATAACGGTGGAACCTAAGTTTGTATTCTAGAATTTGTAATTTGATGAAAATGTATATTACACAAATTTATGTAAAATTCCTTTTCTCTCCAGGGTCTTGAAATATCCAGGTCATATGTTGTTTCCAATTGGTGCTGGCATTAAATGATTCATATTCTAGGGAGAAGCCTAAGAAGGACTGAAGTTCAATTTCTTCCCAAAATCATATATTCATCTCAATTTTATTACAATCCGCTGACATCACCTAGAAATAAAAGAAAAGTAAATATGTGAATTCACCAATTCAGGTAAATTTACTTTAGTTTCCTAAAATGGAACTACTTCCACACCATTTCCTTCTCCACCTTTGTGTAGAGGCCTATTAATTATCATGATTCTTGTAAGGAAAGACAAAGTAAACTTCCTGGAACAATTCAGATTGTTTGGACTACAACTCTTATAAGCCCCAAGCAGCATGACCAAGGATCAGGGATTTGGACACTGCATTCCAAAATAGTAGGTTGTCTATCCCTGGATTAAAGGAAAAGAAGAGTGACACAACTTTCAGAAGAAACAGAATGCTGCTAAATTTTTCTATGGACCAGGGGTCGGCAACCTATGGCTGCCAAAATGGCGCTGGCACCGTTGGGCCTTCCAAAATGGTGCCCTGCGTCGTGCGCATGCGACGCTGAGTGCCATTTTGGAACCCCCAACGGTGCCAGCGCCATGTGCATGGCGCCATTGGGCATTCCAAAATAGCGCCCCCCACATGCACGCATGATGGTGGGCATCGTGCGCATGCGTTGTGCGAGGGCAAGCACGCGCGCAAGTGCTGGCCTCCGGCGCCATTCCCCCCCTCCAGCCCCCGGCCACAAAAAGTTGCCGACCCCTGCTATAGACAATACATCTGAAAAGTAATTATCACACATTGTTTCTACATTCTTGGAGTCAGCTATCTGGTTTAGATATTAAAGGGTTGGTCATGGCCAATATGACTGTTACAGTCCCCACCATTTTCCCTTGCTCCCAGTAAATTGTTGGGCCAATTTACAAACTGTTTCTGGATGTATTTTCACTTTCATAAGCAACTGGACTTTTGAGAAACATAAGCCCAAAGGTACCTTAGTCACACAAAAGCAAATGTACATTTCTTTTTGATCCCCAGCATCATTTGCTTATAACCCAACTAGCAGTCTATAGCTAGACCAATTCAAACTTAAAAGCTGGCAGAATTACACAAAACTCTTCTTCAGCCCATAACACAGAAGCATAATGAGTGATGAGCAGGACAGGTTCATGAAAAACACAATGGGGATAGATGTGAGATAAGTTGAAGCACTGTTGCACATCAATATTAAGACAGCTACCTGTTTAATGTAGGAGAGAGGAAAGCTGAATAGGTGGGGTCACTTCTATGGTTACTGGGCTAAGATTCTATCTATCTTCCATTTCAGTCCAGTTTTAGAGTGTCTGCTTCCTATTTATGTATTCCCCTCTTGCAATTTAGTAAAGTTCTTGGCAAAATATACAGCCCTCCTCTCTCATATTCTCTCATCCATGTACTTGCCAGACTCAGAGCTATTAACATTCCGAAACTACACCACAGTATAAAGCTATACCATAGCCGAAGGTATTAACAGTATCAATTTTGGAATTTCGATAAAATGTGTGCTTTGTCAAGCACAACTATTAAAGAAATGACAGGCTCAATTTTTATATTTAATTATATGTACTGAGTAAGAATTAGCTCTCATAGGGCCTCTACAGACTGGCAAGAAACGCCGGCATCAGGGTGGAATGGGTGCATGGCGACCGCCCGTTGCCCACCCCCACCCCAGCATCACACCGCCCGACTGACCACATGGCATCACACCATTTCTTTGGCACAGTGTTTAGACATGCTGCACCAAAGAAATGCCAAAAAGCTGCCACCACAAGGGTGGCTTTTTTCTAGTCTAAAAAGGAGAAGCATTTTGCTTTTGTTTTTTAGAGTGTCAAACTTCTAGACCGGGGCCACAGCATATGGTTGCTAAGACAGGGTGGCGGGACGCTGCTCCATCAGGGAAGTCTGCAGAGTGCCATAATAACATTAAAAGTATCTTAAGATCTTTGATTTAGGACTTGTGTGTGTGTGTGTGCGCACACGCACACACAAATGTCTTAAATCAGCTGTGAATCATGTGGCTATCCAAATGTTTTTGGGACTGCAGCTCCCAGCATTCCTCAACACTGGCTATACTGGTTGGGATGCTGGAATTTAGATTTCAACAATGTCTGGAGGGCTATCTGATCCTTACCCTATCCTACCCAAAAACATGTAATGAGCTTTCTTTAGCCATGAAACAATGTTCTCTGCTGCTAGATTTGTACAACTGACATGTTCATTTTGAGTTCTCTCTTCAAAACATCATCCAAAAAATTAGCAAAGAATATAAACGTATTTAAAGAGGCTCTTTTTCCTCCTTGATAATAACCATTGCATACACAAATCAACAGCTGACTGGTAAAACAGACATTTTCCTTTTAACATTCTTACAAATATATAGCTGACAGATAAACCTAGGGGTTGGGGATAAATCTACAAACCTCTAAACATATTCAAGCAACTCAGCTTACCATCACGTTAACCAATACTGTACACAAAGTTTACATTTGTATTATTATTTATTATTTGAAACTGTTTCAGCAAAGATACTCATCATCATTCCTGAGAGCAATTTATATAAATGCAGCAACAACTTGAAATGTTGAGCAGTTCCTGGCATAGTCTATTCTGCAAGAGATAGTTTCAAAACCACCAGATTTATTGCTATCAGTCTTCTCTCTGGCATAAAGTAACTCTGCATTTCATGCCAAAGTCACTGGTTTTCTGGACTTAGGAGGTTATACATTCCACTTACTAAATTTGTTTCCCAGGATTCTTATTTTTGTGAAATTCAGCACAGCACTGCACAAAGAAAATTGGTTCAAAGCAGGCAAGCACTCTTTACTAAAGTCAGAAACCATAAGGCATTCTCTCTCCCCTATAAACTGGAGGCTAAGGTATGACCAAATACAGATCACCAAATAAATCCCTTTTTATACTAAACAAAAATAACCTCCCTCTCTCTTTCTGTCTAGTAATACACCTTAAAAACTGGTAACAACTTGGAACATATTTGATACACATGTGCATGCAGTGAAGTTCCTAGAATCGGTATTTAACCTACCTTACAATGAAACTCCACATGAATAAAGAAACATGGTTCCATTAACAAACTAGATTCTTTTGAAGAAAGCAGCCATCATTCTCTAAAATCCTACACAAAGAAAAACATCATTTACTTTTAAATGTTTTAGATTTATCTTTATTTACTTCCTTTAAGCAAATATGCTGAGCAACTATTGATGCAGGGATGTTTACTCAACAAATGATTATATGGTCAGTTCAGATATAACAACAAGTCCCTACTTTCATATGGATGTGGGTGAAATTTAAAACTGAACTGTGGAGTTCAGTGCAATTTTCCATTTCACCTACATACATGAAACCTTGGGTACTTCACAAATGATGCTAAACTACAGATAATATGCTGGCTTGCTAGCTAATTGATTTTTTTTCCTGTCTGGATGGAACAGGAAAATGCAGTTTATTCCCCAAAAGTGAAAGATTGAAATCTCCTCTCATCATGTACAGATAGAAAGAAACTCTATCTTCAGTGACAGATCACTCAAATAATTCCTAATAATGTTACCTATATAGGTATAATTGATTTCTGAGACATTATCACCTCTAAAATTCTTTAAGCACCAGAAGTACAAATTTTTTTTACAGAAGTACAAAAGCCCCACTTATTCAGATAGTTACCTTTAAAGAAGAGGTGGGAAAGCTTTAGGGGGCAAAGGGCCAATTTCCAGAGTGGTACAGTGGTTTGAGCTCTGGACTATGACTCTGGATACCTAGGTTCAAATCCCTGCTAGGTCATGGAAACCCATTAGGTGCCCTTGGGCAAGTCACATTCTCTAAGAGTCAGGGAAGACAAAGAGAAATCCCTTCTAAACAAATCGTGCCAAGAAAACCTCATGATAGATCCACCTTGCATGTAGGTGTACATGCCTTCAAGTTGCCTGTTGACTTATGGTGATCCCATGAGTTTCATAGGATTTTCTTAGGCAAGGACTACTCAGAAGTGGCTTTCACAGTTCCTTTCTCCAAAATATATCCTACAGCACCTGGTATTCATTAGTGGTCTCCCATCCAAGTACTAACCAGAGTTTTTAGGGTATTTAGGGTCTCCATAAGTTATAATTGACTTGAAAGTACACCATCACCACTATAACAAAACGATGTGACAGGAGCCACACCAACTCCCCAAAAGCAAAGGGTGCACTTTTGTCTACTTCAGTTTTTTTTTTAAAAGAAATGAAAGGTACAGCCCACCTTTTCTGGGATCAGTATGCATTCTTTAAAAATACAGAGTGGAAAAATTGGGGACTGTACTTTTACATGTAGAACTGCTATTCCCAGTATGTAGAGAGATCTTGAGTACCTAAGGAAGGGGAGGGGCAGCCAGACGCTGGGTGCCCCATCCCCTTCCTGAGGACGTCATTGGAGTGACGGCCCATCCACACGATGGGCGCTCCGATAACGTCCTTCCGGCTCAGCGTCCACACACGCTGAGCCGGAAGAGATGCCAAAGAGGTGCGCCATGCCTTTTGTGGTGCCCCTTTCGCGACTTGCGGAAGGAGCGCTATTTTAGCGCTTCTTTTGCAGGCGGCGAATGAGAATATCAAGGCCAAGATATCCGGCAGCCTCGGCCTCGATCCTCCGCTTCCCGGGGTGACCCAGGGCCGCCCGTCTGCATCCCCTCCAAGTGAAAAAAGAATTCAAAGATATAGCCATGTATGTAGAGAGATGCTACAAGATCTCTCTACATACTGAAAAAAAGAAATTGGCAGCATGAGCTTTCATAGACTTCAATCTACTTCCTCAGATGCTTCTGGTGCAGTGGAAGCCAGGGACAGACAACCTGAGATGCAGAAGGTGGAAGTAATAGGGCATATATATAGACCAAGGACATATATATAGGCCTATCCATGGCTTCCACATCACCAAAAGCATCTGAAGAAGTAGACTGAAATCTATGAAACTTCATGATGCCAACTTCTTTTTTTCAGTTAGTCTCAAAGGTGCTACAAGATCTCTCTACATACTGATTCCACAGAATAACATGGCTATATCTTTGAATTCTACTGCTATCCCCAGTGATTTCCTAGAGCAGCAACAGTCCTTTCTTCAGTCCAATTGTTCTTCCAGCAAGAAAGATATATGGGGCCACCAAAATAACTTTAGTGATACATACTGCCTGGGCCATAACATTTTGATTGTATTACACTGATTTTTCCCAATGTTCGTCAATCCATTTCTGAGTCCAATTTAAAAATTAGGTTTGGTCTTTAACAGCTCAAAATGTTTACAACCTGGATATATTCTCCAGCTTTCCCTCCAGCTTTGAAGACACTATGTATTGCACTGTTACCTGAGATGCATAAGGTGGAGGTAATAGAACAGGGCCTTCTTGGAGATGGCATGCACTTTGTGGGATGCATTGCCTCAGTACATCCTGGTCAGTTTCCTTCCTCTCTCTCTTTCAGTATCAAGTGAAGATACGGAAAGCAATACAATACTTATAACAGGGTTTATTTTTGTATTTGTTGCTTTTTACATGCTAGTGTTTTATTTGTAATGATGCTATTATCATCTGTTTTTATTGTTTTGCCAAGGAAACCTTGTGACAGGATTACCGTAAGTCAGAAATGACTTGAAGGCACCCAACAGAAACAACAACAATAACAAAATGCTATCTACTTTGAGACCATGTATGCCAAGATATAGATCAGGGGTAGGCAACCTAAGGCTCGGGGGCCGGATGCGGCCCCCCGAGGCCTTTGGACTGGCCCCAGGCCAGTCCTGCCGCCGTTGCCGCCGCCCACCATGATGATATTGATTATTGTTGTTATTACTTGTTCTTGGGGTTTTCTTGGCAAAATCTCCACAGGGGTTTTGCCATGCCTTTTCTGGGGTTGAGAGAATGTGCATACACATTATTTATTTATTTTTGGTGCTTCGGCCCCCCAATTGTCTGAGGGACAGCAACCCGGCCCCCGGTTCAAAAAGGTTGCCTACCCCTGATATAGATCATCCTCACTGTCATTGCTGTCATCTTCAACATAACCCTAATTTAAATTGGAAAGTATATACAATAGGAAAACAATATAGTTGCCAAAGTACTCACCAGTTTTGTCCATTATCTTAGCTTCATTTCAGAGAGGATCTCCTGATCTGGAAGTAAAGAGGATGGGAAGAGCAAATAAGAAAAATAATAATTTTTAAAATAAATCGTGCTCACTGATTTTGACCCAATTGCACACTAACTACACACAGTTTGTCACGCAGTCACTACTACATCCAGGAATTGAACACAAACCATGCCCCCTCATCCCTGGTTCAACTTGCCCCACTTCATAACCTAGTTCACATGCCCCCCCTTTTCCTCTTTTGTCATGGCTACAAAAAGTTTTGAAACTTTTGCTTCATCTTTTTGTCAATTATTTCTTGTTGAGTTAACTGCTTTCGCAGGGGCAGGCAAACTCGGCCCTCTTAGGGATTTCGGACTTCAGCTCCCAGAAGCCTCAGCCATGTTGGCCAATAGTCTGGGATTCTAGGAGCTGAAGTCCCTCAGCCCTTAAAGGGGACAGTTTGCCTGCCCCTGCAGGGAGTGGACAATGCACTGAATGTATATAATCTAAAACTGAAGTTTCTGATCTCACATGTATGAAAGAGGATCAGAGGATTGTGAAAGATAGGGGCAGGCCAGGCTCCTTACCACCACAATAAACTATGGTATATTGTAACAGAAAGGAGCATAGCCTCTCTCTGGATTACCTTCTTGTTGTTTTGTGCCTTCAAGTTATTTCCGACTTATGGAGACCTAAGGCAAACCTATCATGGGGTTTTCTTGGCAAGTTTCTTCATTTGCCATTATCATCCTGAGGCTGAGAGAGCACGAATTGCCTAAGATCACCCACTGTGTTTACATGGTCAAGCAGGGATTTGAACCCTGATCTCCAGAGTCGTAGTGTGATGCTCAAAATACTACACGATGGCTCTTTTTCTAGTAAATCATGTTTTATTGCATCATCTGAATGCAGCCAATATACTTATGATTCTGTAATAGGCATCCTTCCCCCATCAGTTCCCTTACTGATTTAACAGTTACTTAAGAAGTAAATCTGAATTCCTTTAAAGCAATAGAGTAAATGCAATATGACAAAACAAAATCTGAAGAGTACACACAACTGTTGTCTGCCTTTACAACGTACAGTGTTTAAAACATCTTAAATAATAATGGTGTTTCTGTATTGACAAAGAACGAATAAAGTCATATAACTAGAAACAGTCTATTTTCCTACTACATTATTGTTTACAAATAAAGGACTAGAAAAGAGCAAGTCCTGGAGGCTTTATGTGCATACAGGGTGTTGCTGTTGTTTTAAAAAAATATGATTAGGAACTTTTTTTTATGAACTGATATACTTTCCTTAATTTCCAGGCAGAAATAAATGAGAAGATATTATGGTAATGATCAGACCTAGATAAGGTTATTATAGAGCTATGAACTGCTACTTGTCCTATACGGATTTCAGTAGTGGGAAGAAAAATGCTGTTTCTAACTGGGGAAGATCTAGAAACTCATGGAAGATGAAGATAGTGCAATATTAGCAGACGCTAAGGAAATGAAGAGGTGCATAGATGTAAAAATACAACCAAAAATGATCGAAAGTACTTTGCAAAAAGTCCATGGCCTTTTTGTAAATAAAGGACTGTGGAGGGGGGGGGGAGTAAGGTAAAAGGTAAAAACTGATAAATCCATACCCGGAGTTTCTGTCTCATGGGAAGGCAAACAGATTCACTGTTACAATGCACATAAAAATTCAGCAGCATGAGTTTGAATTTCAGAGAGATAGCTCCCAGTGTTGGTTTCTTATAAGAAGGAGCCCTTACATTTCTCACAGGTATGGCTGTTTCTTTCTAGGAAAAGACATGCTGATATAGATGATTACTTACTAAAATTTTTGTTTCAAAAACATTAACAGATTGCACTTTTAATGCTGTGTAATTTAAATAATTTTACTCTTTATCATCTTTTAAAGCAAGATGGGCAATATTTGGCTACCTGCAACCCCACTGTGCACTTTTCTAGGTCCTAGAGCTCCTTTCTTGAAAAACATTACATGAAAATAATCATTACAATCCTGGAAGCATCTAGGAAAGCATGATTTCCTTTTAATTTATACCTGGACATTTTAATTTTATTTTATTTTAAGTGAACACACTTTTTTTAAAACCTTGTAAGTGGATTTCCAGCCATTTCAAGTTTCATTGGGGAAAGGTAGTATGATTCACAGCCAGTTCTGAGGGCTGCACTTGCCCTCAATCTCTCCCTTTCTCCCCAAATTGTCCTCCTGCTTTGAAGTATGCTGCCATTAAACTAGGGTGGTTGTAGGGCAGATGTTTTCAATTTTAATGCCTATTTTGAGTGAAGCAAGGGTTCTAATTTGTTTTAGTGACTGTAAACAGAAAACCTGGGTGGACAGTTCTGAATTATTCTGAAATTGCAAAATGGCTCTAACTCAGCTAGAATATTCAAACAAAAATCCACCAGTGATACCTTTATTAGCCAACCAAAATGCACAATATACTTGCTGCAAGCTTTTGAAGCTCCATGGGCTACTTCATCAGGCAAGGAGAAAAACAATTAGAGATGTTAGTCAGATGCCTACATGTGGTTTCAATCAATCAATCTTAAGATGGTATATGGTGGGGAGGATATCTTTTGCAGGCTGGTCCTTCAGTCCATGTGGCTATAGGGAGATTTTCCAAATCCAGGAAATTTAAAATGCATTTGCATGTCAACAGGGAGC